GTGTTTGGTTAATTCTATGTTCTCTGATATGACATGCTTTGGGGACACATTCTTCCACTAAAGTGAGCCCTGGAAAACCAAACTTATTTAATAACAGTTTCAACAGAGTACGATTTAAAATGATAACTTGAAATGATCTCTTGTATGGATTGAAGAGATAACTGTACAAATGAACTCTGGTATAGTTAATAATAATGTATCGCATGCTCAAAAATTGCTGAGAGTAGATCTTACATGTCTTCATCACAGACAAATAACTATGTGAGTTGATAAACTTGTTATTGAGTTTGATTGTGGTAATCATTTCATACCTATATCATGTTGGACATCTCAATTATCTATTTTTTATTTTTCAATCATACTTCTTAAAGCTGAAGGAAAAAGAATCAAAATATGCTCAAAAGGCAACTGGGGTGGGGAGAGACAAAACAAACTGATTAAGCTCGGGGGTAAAATCCTAATACTGCCACTTTTAAAAAGTTATTTAATTTCTCTGAACCTTAGTTTTCTCATCTTTAACACAGAGGTAATAATTCCTAAGTTATAATCAGAATGAAATAATGAATCAAAACATGGATGGTAATTGTGCCCATTCCATAGGGTTAGTGATGTAAGTAAGAAGGAAGGTACGCCGTCCTAGTGGTCTGTCCGGAGCACAGAGAGCTCTGTGTAAATATTGTGTGTTTGCCCCCTAACAAGAATATCGTAACATAGACTCCATTCCTGCTCCTAGCTAACTACTATTACAATATGGTTCATTCACAGCAAATTACGTAGAACACCATTTTGAATTATAAGTGTGACTATTTTCTAGTTCTCTCCCTCTCTCTGTACACACACATACACACACAGACATGTAAACACACATCTAAATCTGATTTAACAAGCTAATATTTTATGAGGTAGTTTTTCATATTACTAAAGTGTTTTATACAACCAAAGAGATTCGACATGGGTTTTTCTTAGCCAACATGGCCCTATTCTTTATACACTATTAAGTCTAAACTATCTGTTAATTTACCAAATGTTAATATAAATCAGATTTTAAGGAACATATCTCTTGTATAAAGCAGATCGCACCTGTACAAATTGTGAATGCACACACACAAATAGTAAAAATAATCATATTATTGTAGAAAACCTAAAGAGCAAAATACTAAGACGCTTCTGTTTAAAGTTAAAAATGCGTAATTAAGCAAAATACTGGGTCCATTGTAAGTATACAATGAAAAATACATAGATGAAATCATCATGGTAATTATAAACTCTTCTAGGTCCATCCATTAAGAGTCATTCTGCCTTTTTATTTCACAAATCCACTCTATTTGATTCATCTAATCTATTTTACTAATGGCAGGATGATTTCATATCATCTTTTATTTTTATTGTGAGGCCATGTAGTCAGTATATTTAGATTCTACTTTAGGTTGTGTATGCTTTTTCCTTTGAAGTGCTCTTTAAGGAAGAAAAAATTCGAGCAAAAGCAGCAGATTGTTCTAGGACATCCCTTCCTTTAGAGACATGAGTTTCTTCACCCTAAAAAAAGACTGAATTTTCCAAACTGGTTAAATTGCTTCTTCGGTACAGTACAGTGGCATGTTGTCTTGTTACAATGGAACATGTGCTCTCATTTTGGAAGAGCTGTTCTGTGAAAGTTTTATTTAGCCCACATAGCCCATCCCTGGATTTGTGGGTGTTACCTCCTTTCCGTGTTACCAGTCTTTCTCGTCATCATTACTGCTTCTGCTCCGTCAGCTGTAACACAATTTAGTGGCAACCCTTCAAATTAAAAAAAATAAAAATAAAAAAGCTGTTTCTCGAAAATGGAACAGTTGGCCAGACAGAAAAGAGATATCAACGAAAGTCGATCTGTTGTTCATCTGTGCTGCTCCCTGAACCACTCCTGAGACCAGCATCTCACACGTGTGTAAATGACCGGGAGCTGAGTGAGAACGTAGCCTGTGTGTCCTACCACAAATTTTGATCCTATTTTCATTAAGGAAATCAAATGATAGGAAACCTACATTGTTTCAGAGAATACTTACATGGTTCACTTTTGTTCAAATTAAGAAATTTAAGTAAATGTATTGGCTAGGGGTTTGGGGTCACCTTTTTTTAAGGAGAAAACTTTGGATTTCCCAAGTAAATGAATACTTAATGCAATTAAAGATCAACAGATGGATCCAGTTCTATATCCCTGGACTGATTGTGTAGCTGACTCAGCTGAGAGGAAACAGCAGCTTTATTATGGTATTTTTTCCTCTGTGCATCAACTAACACAAAAATTAGGTCATCCAATATTTACTTTCTGGGCAAAGTGACATTTTTCAGCTGCCCCAACTTCCCTATAATTAGCCAGAATGACCAATATGGAACAAAGGGACAAGTCTCTGTAATCACTTCTTTGTAAAGCAGCGATGGATGATGTGGTGCCCCTTTCAGAGCACAACTGGAAGAAACTTGAAAAGGAGCCAGCCCACTGGGCCATTCAACACCCCCTTGTTTTCCATACTCAATAATAACTTCAGTCGGATACCGAGAAGGGCACTGCTCTGCAGAAATCTCCATCCTGAGCTTGATGATAAACCCAGTGGTCATCCCTGCTTCCTCATTTGACCTCTGTGTCTTGCCTTTCTTCCTGCAGTGCATATAAATACAGCAGTAATATTTTTAAAATGGACATTTCATTTGCTTTTGTGATATCTCTTTATTTATTCTTGATTAAGTAGTCTTTATTTCTCAACCTTTTTCCACAAGGGAATAAGTTAAGTTTTACCAAAGAATAGTTTATCACCGTTTCTTTATTCCTTTCACTTAAAATTTTAGAGCAAAGCTTTTCCATCTGGGTCCTTGGACCAGGCATATTCCAGCCTTATATTTTGTCTTACCTTTACTAATCGTGTGGCTTCTATGTTCCAATTCAAGTAACAAAGAGATAGGACAGAGATATTAGACACCAACCCCCTGCCAGTAACAGTGGTTGGCATTTTCTTCATGTGGCGTCTTATTTAAACCTACTGCAACTCCACAAGGTACATACTATCCCTATTTTTACTAATGAGAAAACTGAAGTTCAAAGAGGTTAGTTATTCCTCCAAGCCTATAAAGGACTGAGTACAGATTTAAATCTGTGTTTGAATCTAGAATTTGTCTCAATGGAGTAAATAACCCTAACTTATTGGTGGCCTTTCATAAAACATAACTCTCACCTTTGATTATTATTGTCTATCAGCAAAACATGATTTCATTACACTTTGTGTGTAAATGCAATACACATTTACAAACACACGTGTCTTACTGTGACTGCCTCAATAGTGTCATATTATCTCTTACGATCACAGAGAAATACTTGTGCATTCATTAACATATTCAGTTTTTAAAATAACACTGATCAAATCTTACTGATCTTATTAAATCCAGTGCTTTGCTAAATTCTACAATACAATAGAGAGGTTCCAAGCTTTCATTCACTTTAGATTCTACTGTGGAACTTTTAAAAGATGCCAATACCTGGACTGGGCAACAGAAATCCAAATTCAGTTAACGGAAGTAGAACTTGGGCAGTATATATTTTTTAAAGCTTTCTCAGCTATAGTCAGCTTTGAAAATGTTTGTCCTGGTGGTTTTTCAAAGTGTGGTCTCCTCAATCAGCAGCATCATGGTGAGCTGGGGACCTGTTACAAAGACCTATGGTACTAGAATTCCAAGCAGTACTAAAATGCCAGGCATGGGACCAGGAGAGCTCTTTTTCACAGGCTCTCATTTCTGGTGAAAGATGAAGGTTGAGAAACACTTCTCTAGAAACACAGAATGAATAAAGTATAGAACTTGCCACTAAACCCTTTTCCTTGAACTTACAGAATTCCCAGCTGTTTCAAATTTGCATATTAATTATCCAGCACAACTTTACAATCTATAAGTTTATTTGATAGTGATAGTATTCTTACTGCTTAGAAACATAATGGTTTTTAATCTCTTTTTGAGCAGCCCTTAAAGTATTTATAAGAAAATCATGGTTGGTGAATAACGTCCATTAACAAAAGTCTTATGAATCTTATGGGATGAGTTACCCTTTTCCTGCATTTTGTAGCACACCCACATACAGAGGGAGAAAGAGAATTATAAAATAGCAAATCTTAAAGGGGAAATGCTTTCAATAAAGAATTTTAAAGTGGTTTTTGTGGTGGTTTACATTGTAAATAATGCCATTATTATTATTTTGCTATTATCTCATTAATATTGCTTTTTTACAGATTTATGACAGTATAATTAACATACAATAAAACATACACATTTAAAGCATTTAATTTGACACATTTGACACAAACATACACAAGTATCATAAAAACAGTTGGAGGAAGGCATCCAGTTCTGTCATATTAAGGTATCTACTACTTGTGTGAGTTATCGCCTCTCCAAAATAGAGTTGCTGAGAAGCTTTCCAGCATAAACTAAGAGGAGCTAAGACTTGTAAGCAAAGTAGATACACAGCCTGAGTGAATAAAAAGGGAAAAGGCTTTATAAGGTGAGAATGAAACCCATTTCCCCTCTCTGAAGTTTAAGCTTTTGTGGCTATTGTTATTTATTATCAACCACAGTTTTAAATTATTTACTCAAACTCTGTTTCTTTAAAATTCTAGTTGGAGTGAGTAACATGGCTAATGAAATACATGGCTCCATTTATTGAGAGGAACAATCCCTGTTTCAATCTCTGTGGTTTGCTTCTTGTATTAGAGTAACTTGTTTCCCTTTGACCATCTACCCTCACTAGAATGCAACTTCTCCGGTGTTTGTGTTATAGAGAACAGCACACCATAAAGGGATATTTTTGCTTTTGTAGCAGTGAAATCTAATACCTTGCCCTTAATTTCCTTTTAACTTTCTTCTTCCTTTCAAGCAAATTATTGTGTCCCTAAATATTCATTTATCATGTAAATCCATGCACAATCCTGGGATTTTACTTTTTGTTCTTAAAATCGACACTCTTTCTTCCATTGCAGGTTGGCTTCATGAGTTGGGAAAGAGACTGGAATCTCCATACTATGGCAATAACACCTTGGGGGGCCCATCGATCCGAAGTGCCTATATTGCTGCTCTGTACTTCACCCTGAGCAGCCTCACCAGTGTGGGATTTGGGAACGTCTCTGCTAACACAGATGCAGAAAAGATCTTCTCCATCTGCACCATGTTGATTGGTGGTAAGAGAAGTTCCTCTTTTACGCCAAGGAAAGGAGCATGTGTCCACCAAATGGTCACTGTTCTGTTTGCTCTGTCCTGGAACGTAATAGAGATACATTGGTTACCATGGGATGGGTCTAAAAGCACTAATATTATTTCTCATCTACATGTATACAAATATTTTAGCATACATACAGATTAGCAGTGAGAGTTTGTGATGCTAATGGATCCTATTTTCTGGAAAGATGAATAAGCAGCCATTTACCTGATGGTTGATTTTGAATGGGCTGGCACTTTTCCTTAACAAGCTGTTTCCTTCTTGTGTTTATGAACTACATGAGTCTGATTAGCAGGCTCATGTTTGAAACTCCATTCCATGCTTCCAAACAGGCCAGTGTTATCAAACTTTATTAATATTATGTAGCAAATAAGAATGTTTGATAGATTTTTTGATTAAAATAAAAATAAAGTACAAATTTTATACAAAAATAATCAATGTGGACTTGGCACAGTGAGACTGGGGAGAGAAGATTCCAGGCATCTCTGACTGGTGGGATCTGCCCAGAAACATCCTTCTGGTGACAGAGTGAGTCAATGAGAGACTTCTGGTCCCCATGAGGAGGACAAAAGCAGTGGAGAACTGGCAAGTGGTTGTGTGTGTTTGTTCTGTCTAATCCTGCTGCCAGCTGACTCATGGAAACCCTAGCCCAGAGGCACAGTAAATTAAAGAGCAAGAGGAAGTGAAAGGAAAATTAGGGCAAGGAAACAGATAAAAGAAAACATTCATGAGGAAGAATCAGCAGAAAAATTCTGGTAACATGAAAAACCAGTCCAGAGCAACACCCCCACCCCCAAGGGACCATGAGGTAGCTACTGAAGAAGATTCCACCTATAAAGAAATATTAGAAATGACAGAGAGAGAGAAGAAGGGAGGGGAGTGGGGTCTTGGTGTGTGCCACACTTTTAGGAGCAAGACACAATTGTAAGAGGGACTTTACCTAACAAATGTAATCAGTGTAACCTTGTTTCTTGTACCCTCAATGAATTCCCAACAATAAAAAAAAGAAAAGAAAAAGAAAAAGAAATGACAGAAAGGGAATTTAGAATACAGATGATTAAAACAATGAAGAAAATGATGGAAACAATGAAGGAAACTGCTGACAAAAAAATGCCCTGGTTCAGATGGCTTCACACCAGAATTCCATCAAACCAAGGAAAAGCTTATTCCTGTACTACAGAAATTATTTCAAAAATTTGAGGAGGAAGCAATCTTCCCCAACACATTCAATGAAGCAAACATCACCCTGATACCAAAACCAGGAAAAGACCCAACTAAAAAAAAAGAATTTCAGACCACTTTCACTAATGGATATAGAGGCAAAAATTCTCAACAAAATTCTAGCCAATACATTACAGCTTATCATCAAAAAAGTCATACATCATGATCAAGTAGGTTTCATCCCAGGGAGGCAAGGCTGGTTTAACATACGCAAGTCCATAAACATTATCCACTGTATTAACAGAAGCAAAAACAAAGAATATATGATCCTCTCAATAGATGCAGAAAAAGCATTCGATGAAATCCAGCATCCTATTCTAATTAGAACACTGACAAGTATAGGCATACGTGGCACATTTCTTAAACTGTTCAAAGCTATCTATGACAAATACACAGCTAATATTTTACTGGATGGAGTAAAACTGAAAGCTTTTCCTCTTAGAACTAGAATCAGACATGGTTGTCCTCTGTCACCATTACTATTCAACATAGTGCTGGAAATTCTAGCCAACATGATTAGGCAAGACAAGGAAATAAAGGGCATCCAAATGGGAGCAGAGGAGGTCAAACTCTCCCTCTTTGTTGATGATATGATCTTATACTTAGAGAACCCCAAAGACTCAACCACAAGACTCCTGGAAGTCATCAAAAAATATAGTAATGTCTCAGGTTATAAAATCAAAGTCCACAAGTCAGTAGCCTTTGTATATGGCAATAACAGTCAAGATGAGAGGCAAATTAAGGACACATCTCCCTTCATCATAGCTTCAAAGAAAATCAAATACCTAGGAATATACCTAACAAAAGAGGTGAAGGACCTCTATAAAGAAAATTATGAAATCTTAAGAAAAGAAATACCAGAAGATATTAACAAATGGAAGAACACACCATGCTCACAGCTGGGAAGAATCAACATTGTTAAAAGTATATACTTCCCAAAGCAATCTACCGATTCAATGCCAACCCTATTAAAATACCAACATCATACTTTCAAGACTTGGAAAAAATGATTCTTCATTTTGTATGGAAACAGAAAAAACTATATAGCTAAGGCAGTTCTTATTAACAAAACAAAGCCAGGGGCATCAGCCTACCAGATTTTAGGTTGTACTACAAAGCCATAGTGGTCAAGACAGCATGGTACTGGCACAAAAATAGCGACATAGACATTTGGAATTGAATAGAAAACCAGGAAATGAAACTAACATCTTACAACCACCTAATCTTCGATAAACCAAACAAGTACATACCTTGGGGGAAAGACCCCCTAGTCAATAAATGGTGCTGGGAGAACTGGATATCCACATGTAAAAAACTGAACTGGACCCATACTTTTCTTCACTGACAAAAATTGATTCAAGATGGATAAAGGACTTAAATTTAAGGCACGAAACAATAAAAATCCTCAAAGAAAGCATAGGAAAAACACTGGACAATATCAGCCTTGGGAAAGACTTCCTGAAGAAAACTGCTACATGGATGGAGCTGGAACATACTGTTCTCAGCAAAGTATCTCAAGAATGGAAGAAAAAGTATCCAATGTACTCAGTCTTACTATGAAACCAATTGACAGCTTTCCTTATGAAAGCTATAACCCAATTAATTATAGCCCAAGAACAAGGGGAAAGTGGAGAGGGAAGGAAAGGGAGGGAGGAAGATGGGTGGAGAGAAGGTAATTGGTGGGACCACACCTGTGGTGCATCTTACAAGGATACATGTGAAATTTACTAGATGTAAAATATAAATATCTTAACACAATAACTAAGAAAATGCCGTGAAAGCTATGTTAACCAGTTTGATGAAAATATTTCAGATTGTATATAAAACCAGCACATTGTACCCCATGATTGCATTACTGTACACAGCTATGATTTAATAAAAATAAAAATACTGAATGGTGTGGCAAGTAAGGCAATGGAATCTAGAATAATTTTCTAATAATTTATTGGGAAAGAAAAGAAAGATAATGTTAGGAAAGTATTTATAGACTCCGAAGAGTGAATCATCAAAGACCCCCAAAAGGATAGTATTTATAGACCCCGAAGTGTAAATCATCAGTTATCTATGAATGAAAATTGTGAGCCTAATGACAACATGATTTTGAAAGTTTTTATAGGTTCCTCGATAACCCAATAAATACAGGATGACACAAATTTGAAGAAAAAGAAGACTGCCCTGGCAATTGCAACAACGACAAAAATAAACAAATGGGACTTACTTAAACCAAAAAGCTTCTGTACAGCTAAGGAGACAACAACCAAAACAAATAGACAACTCACACAATGGGAAAGGATATTTGCTTATATTGAATCAGACAAAAGCTTGATAACTAGGATCTATTGAGAACTCAAATTAATACACATGAAAAAAGCCAACAATCCCATATATCAATGGGCAAGAGAGATGAATAGAACCTCCTCTAAATAAAACAGACGAATGGTTAACAAACATATGAAAAAATACTCCTCATCCCTAATTATTAGGCAAATGCAAATCAAAACTAGCCTGAGATACCATCTAACCCCAGAATGGCCCACATCACAAAATCTCAAAACTGCAGATGCTGGCATGGATGTGGAGAGAAAGGAACACTTTTAAACTGCCCATGGAACTGCAAACTAATACAACATTTTTGGAAGGAAGTATGGAGAATTCTCAAAGAACTCAGTCTAGACCTCCCATTTGATCCTGCAATCCCATTACTGGGCATCTACCCAGAATGAAAAAAATACTTTTATCATAAGGACACTTGCACTAGACTGTTTATTGCAGCTCAATTTACAATCACCAAAATGTGGAAACAGCCTAAATGTCCACCAATCCAGGAATGGATTAACAAGCTCTGGTATATGTACACCATGAAATACTATTCAGCCATTAAAAAAATTGAGACTTTACATCCTTTGTATTAACCTTGATGAAAGTGGAACACATTATTCTTAGTAAAGCATCACAAGAATGGAGAAGCATGAATCCTATGTACTCAGTTTTGATTGAGGACAATTAATGACCAATGGGGATGGGAGAAGGGGAGGGCAGAGAGAGAAAAAAAGAGGGAGGGGTGGGGTAAAGGAAGAGCAGAGAGAGGGAAGGAGGAGGGGGTGGGGTCTTGGTGTGTACCACATCTTTTGGGGGCAAGACACGATTGTAAGAGGGACTTGACCTACCAAATGCAATCAGTGTAACCTGATTTCTTGTACCTTCAGTGAATCCCCAACAATAAAAAAAAATAATAAATGTGAGCATAAATAATAAATGTGCGATAAATAAATAAATAGATACTAATTGCTTTTGCTCTTCATTCTGTGTGCTGTATGCTCTAATACAATACTGTATGCTCTAATACAATTGAGTAATTCAACTACAAATATATGGGATTGGCATAATTGTTCCCATTTAACAAATAGTCAAGTTACTATAACATTTTCTCTGGACCCGAAACGTACCCTTCTATACTCTGCATTGTAATACCAGTGTTTGCATTCCATAAACCTTATTCTTAGTAGCCAAGTGATTTTGGTTATTTCTTCCAGTACAGCACACTAAGTAGAGACTGGCAGCAGGAGGAGGGAGAAGGGACAGCCTGCTCCGGGGTGCCCACTGTTCCTGACGTGGAAACAGGCATTTCAGCAACAACAGCAGGCCCAGCTTCCAGTCTCCTTAGGCATTCTCAGAGCCAGCATCACTGGGCCGCTTCAGAAATCCCTGTATTAGTTGGGGGTGCCACCTCATACACAGTCA